GGCTGTCGTGTCACGACATTTGTCAGATTTCATTCGCAGACTTTTCGCGCGAGTTTGGCCGGGGTAATGCTTCCACGCGACGAAGTTTCGGGAACGAGACTCGCTAGGAAAAAAATCCCTTCCGGTCGATTTCAAGCACCGGGAATAATTTCTTCACGGGCGTCGTTCGAGGACGACGATTCACACGAGCGTGAAATTTTTATCGCTAGATCGCGGCGAACGCGTCGAAACGCTCTCGGCGTATATAAATCGTCGCTGAATATTTATCGAAACCGGCGAATACCATCGGTAACTGCGCAGTTTTAGGGTAAATATATCGTATCGTCGAAAAACAGGCTACCCCGTGCGTTTGTTCCTTTCGCGTTGCAAAGTGTTTGTGCATCAATGAACCAAGGGAGAAAAAGAGGGGCGAGGGGTGTCGAAAAACCCGCGCAAAATATACAGTTTCTCTGTTGACACGCAACGCAGTTTACATAGTGTCTTCCGGATGATCTGGCAAACGTTCGCCGACGTATCTGAAATCAAAAACGTTTTCGTGCATAGCCCATGGGACGATTCCGCTCATTCGAACGTGTCAAAATGGAAAAACGCATTTTGCGTATCGAAAGGATCGATCGATAGCGAAAACGGCATCAGGGACGAAAATTTATTTGCACGCGATCGGTTTTATAGTTCTACTCGACCTTTGCGAGGGTAAATATTCAGTATTGGTCGAAACAGGATCGATAAATGTACATACGTGTCTGAGCAACTGTCTCCAGTGATTTGGTAATACTTGTTTGCACTATTCGTGTATGCAGATATCGCAGTGTGTAAATAGCTGCTTGTTTTATTTATATACAAAGTTGATGGAAAAATGGATAGAATAGTTTGTAGTTCGTATGATTTATTGTTTTAAGCCAACATTTCTCTTTGATAATAGAATTCGAGATAGAAAAGAAAGTTTGGTTCTATTTCGTTTTGTATTTTACCAATAAGAAACTAAAAATACTGTGAAAAGTGATATAAGTCAACGAGTGGAAATATTGTATTATTGGTAGAAATCCTGTGATGACCAATTTTCTAGACCTAGTAGTACAGGTCAATATTTGGTCAGCCATGATGCTCACACTGAAAAGTAGTGTGTTTTAACCTGATCAACTATTTACATACAAAGTTAGTAGATAAATAATGCAAGTGAACCATTGTAAATATTGTACCCTTACTAGAAATCCAGTGATCACCGATTTCCTAAATCAAGTAGTACAGATCGATATTTGATCAGCCATGATGGTCACAGTGGAAAGTAGTGAGTATCAACAACTAACAAAACGGACCAACATTGAAAAATGTATTAATACCAATCAAACAGTAAACATTAAACAGTAGAATATAAAATTTAATTAAAACCAAATATATAAATATAACAAATGGAATTTGAAAAAGAAAAAAATATCAACGAAGTTCGTGCCTTGTACTCGTTTTGGAGTTTAAAAAAAGCATCTTTGCTACGCGAACATTCTTGTAACAAGTTCATTTTCTCCTCCCTGCCCTCGTTCGAAGGACAATTTCCTTTAAAACAGTGAAACTGAGTCGAGCAACTTTCTCGCTGGTCCCCGGTTCGAACGTTTCCGCGACGATAATTGCGTTCATTTGCGCAAAAAGATCGGACCAGGCGATGTTTTAATTAACACGTCGGTCAGGAACTGAAAATTCAGCCGCCAAGACTTCTTTTGACTCCCATCCCTTTCGAAGTTTACTTCGTTAAAACATGTTTACTCGAGAAAACACTGTTCCGCGAAACGAGGTGCGTTTTCTTTTGCTTTTTACGGGCGCACAATTAATCGCCGCGCGTAAAACGAGACTGTCGCGCAAGTTGAGTAAATTGTACGAATCGAAATGCGTGACCATTGCTTGTGAGTCGTTCGTTGGTAGTAAAACTAATTAGCTGGTTATAAGAAGAAGGCTATCCGGAACGTAAAACATGTGGATTTTAATTAGATCGTGGAACTGTGTTTAACTTTTATTTTCAATCCTCAGGATAAATAGGACATAGTAATTCTATATATAAATTCGTGTTTGCATTTTAATATTTTGTTTTTTTTTTAAATTTTCTTAAAGATCAGAATTCTCAGAACGAAGTAAATTATTTCTACAGCGAATGTAAACGATCCGTTTAGTTTCTGCGTGTCCAGGAGCGTCGGTAAAATGAAAATAAAAATGTAATGAAGTTCGGGACGCGAACAATTACGCGGGAAAGGAAACGAGCGCGATGTTCGGTGCAAGAAGCCGAAAGGATGGGCTCGAGCGTGAAAAAATATGCTAAAGAGTGGGGAAAAAAAGAGTTTCGGGGACGCGAGAGGCATTATATAAATTCAGAGAGGCCGCCAGCCGGACGCGTCCCATCCCTAATGGTTCCACCCATTATGACAATTGCATCTACCGGATATATAAAACTAAACAAAAAAACAGAAAGAGAAAACGGACACGGGGCGTGACAACGATATGCTTCCATTCCTCGACGCGAGAAGAAACGAATCCGGAAATCCTACGAAAATTCTTTGCGAAAACGGCGTTGGTCCATCAATAAAATATCAGAAAATATTAATCACGAATCGAAGAATTTATCAGTGTATACAATTACAACAATTATGTGTCTGATATTTTATAGTAAATACTTTCCCCCCAGTCTTTTTAGTAATTATATTTCAAGTCGAAGCGACATTTTTTCAAAATCAACACGTTCTTTAAACACGGAGCATTTCCGTAATGAACGACTCATATGCGATATTAATTAAAATTGTTTATAGTGTGTAAAGTTTTTATATTTTGGATGGGGAAAATTTTAATTAGCACCGAAGAAGACCTCCAATGTAGAAGCCACGAGGATATTTATTTTATTCTTCCAGTCAACGCGAGTACTGTGAAAAGGATCGTTAACCGGAATAGGAAACGTTGAAATCTGCGTTCGATTTTGTTCCGATATCGGCACTTGAATTTCTGCGGAACTTCCAATACATTTTATACATCGTGTGAATTGGTGGCTAAAACCTCCTTTATTTATCCTTTCGAGTGGTAAAAATTCCGATTCGAATCCAACAATCGAGGGAGGGGGGCGGAGGGAAAGCGCATCGTTGGCTCGTCGAGCACGCCACTCCGATCAGTTAAACATTCAAGTCGCGGTATGTTCGTTGCAAAAATATTGAAACAACGATAGTCGATGTCGCGTATCAATATTGTGATTTTTCCAATATCGACGGGGCGGGGAGAAAAAATGGGGAAAAAAGGGCGAGAAAATTACTTTTTCATGCCGTATCATGGTTCTTCCCGCTGTCAAAATGATTTATACACAGCGTCAGGAATACCCAATCGTGGGGCCGCGACCCACTCGCGTTCCACAGCATGTTTTCCAGATAACCGACAAAGAGCGGGCAATTTTTTACTTTTCTTATCGGCCACCGCGACCGCGCGATTTTACGAAATTCTAAATTAAGAGAAACATGCTTTCTTTTTAATTTCTGGACTTGGGAAGAATTATGCGGAAAGGATTATCGTGAAACATTGTTGAAGAAGACTCCAGAATCTTGTTACACAATTCTGGGTGCACAATTATGCCTGCAATGAATTGCATAATTGTAGGACTCGTTATGAAAAGGTACAACTTTCCTTTCGTCTGCTTCATTGCTGTTACTTTTTTAAATTTATTATGTGGTTTATTTAAAAGAAGCTACCTAAATATCTCTTGCAATTCTGATGATACAAAAACATTTTCTTATTTCTAGGTCACTCTTTTCCAATAATAAAACAGATCAAGTGATTTTACGTATCTTTTCTCTAAAATAAAATTCCTCCCAATTTATGTCACACTTTATCGGATATTAAAAATATGTTTATTTCTCTTTTACACACCTATTCTTATTCATTCTTTTACCGATTTAATTACTCATAATTTAGCATATCTATCGAAGTTCGAACAACATCCAAAACGCCCTATAATACAATAATAAATCCCTAACACCAGTACACTAGGTCCCTGCGATCACAAACGAATTTTTAGTCTGCAAACACTAGTATTGTCTTCTTTCTTTTATCCAGCAAACAGATTAAATTTCGCGCCCTTACCACTTTTTTCTCGATCATCGTGGCGTAGTTTAACTATCGATGGGCGTCGAATACCCCAACCCCAGTCTTTGTCCATAACTTTCGTGGCTCGTTCGCGATTAAATTCGCGAACTGATATCGGCATGCCGGAAAATTTACAGCGAATACCCCGCGACGTTCCACGCCGTGTCCCACAAATTTTAATCGAATGTCCGGCACAGCTAGACGCGTCTTCATCCGCGAATATCTTTTGTCTTGCGTTTCGTCGACGAGTTCTCCCTGTTTGACGCCAAATTATACTTAACCCGGAAGTGAGGGAAAACTAATTTCGATCGAAACACGGCTGTCCAAGCTCGATTTTTATTCGAAATGAATTTATTAAAAATAACTAAATTCTATTCAAGAAGGTAATCACGAGATAATTACATTAGATTAAAATATAATAAATTCGAAGAATCGACATTGCACTTTTCTATAATATTATCAATCAGGTTAGAAACCACGATTTCGAGAACACGATTGAAGTCTAATCTTCAGACGAGTCTAGAAATAATATTGCAATTTATCATAGTCCCCCACAAAGTTTGTCGTTCAAAATCATCCTGCAAAAATTCACCGTAGAAGTATTTGTATCGCGTCCGGGATCGCGAGGACCTTGCATTAGCATCGAAGTGCATCTCCCCTTGACATTCTGTTGTGTGCACAGTCACGAAGTAGATATAAGCTGCTCCAGAAACGTCAGTCTGTTGTTCGTACCGAGCATTAGCGAAACTCGATAGTCCGTCGAGTTGATGCAACGTCACATGTTTAATATCGCGTACGCGTTCGCGGGAATTATTTGTTCGTTCCCGTTGGATAATTCGAAACTGTGCTTCGCAGGTGTTGGGGCACGACTAACCCATACTTTGGTGTGTTTTCAGAGTGCGACTGGGTGTACGAAGACACCGACTGTCACGACGGTTGCGTACTGGCCAGCCCCGGATATCCTGGCCTATATCCTCCGAGCATCCGGTGTCTCTACTTAATTACTTCCGGCCCGCGAATGTCCATCGCAATTAACTTCACCGCCGTTCTTCTACCTTACAAGTAAGTGTGATCTTTCAGTATCGTTCACCTGGTTTTCAACCTTCGATTTCCCTTCATTAGCCAATGGAATATTAAATTATTATACGATATAGCAATGGAGACAAATCTTTTATACGTGGAAATAATAATAGTTCTCGCGTATAGTGGTCGAATCAAATATATTTGGAAACACTACTGTTCATAATTTTTATCAAAATTTTTTTAAAGCCTGAACACTTCTTGACATGATAAAAATATCTTAAAGACTTTATTTCACGTTTAATAATAGTATCTATAAAATATAAAGTCTACATGAACACCTTAAAATTGAATAAACTTTTAATAAATTTCTCTATTTCAATATTCAACAAAGGGTTAATAACAGATGAAAACATTTGTGAGACCATCTTTGAAACAGTTTAGAGATGCGTGTTTCATTCTTGAAGTACCATAATTCCCCGTAAATAGTACTTGTGAAGACCCCTGGCGCTCGACGCGTCCGCAAATATTTAAATAACGCCTCAAAATCTCCCGAGGAATACCGTCTGTCGTCTTCTTCTCGTTTCGAACCGTCGCGCTAAGAGTCGGCCCTCCGAGGGCAAACTGTACATTTTAATGTCGCGACGACGACCGGGGAGATCCAATTCCGCGCGATGCATCCGCGGCGACCCTCGCGTAGACGCGTACGAAAGCGTTTCGCGAGATTCGCGTACAGAAAACTGTCGCGGACCAATAGGCGGCCACCGTTCGTTCCCCGCGGAGGACCCGGGGTAGTCCTTTGTGCGTGCCACGGCACGAGGCTCGATAATGCGCCCCGTGTCTCGTTTCACCCCGTGGCGCGTCTGCACGAACCCTCGCCGACGCTTGAATCATCCCCTCGGGCGCTGGAACACGCGAAAACTCCAGTTATTCCCCTGTATCGAGTTACTTGCACTCCACTCGTCCCCCATTCTTCTCCTCTAGCCAACGTTTGCTTTTGAGACGCTCGCGAAATCGATTCAAATTGATTACAACTTTTTGCTGAATATTATTAGTCGACTTAAAACAGTCGAATCTCAAACAAATTGTTTCATTGCTGACATTAGTGTCATACGTAGTAAATTGATACAAGACTTCAGATCTGATTAATTCTGTGAGTTGAAATCTCTAACAGTGAGTAATACGTACCTTATGAAATTTCAGAAAAATTATGCTTCACATTCTAGAAATATTTTTTTGGTGTACAATTGTATTAGTGTTATATGAATTATAAAGAAATTTCAAATTGTGCAAGGGAAGGTTTTACACGTTTTACCAATTCTCTTAACGCGAAGACCGTTGTCCGCTACCACTGATATTGTAAACTAAAGTGAGATACATGAAGATGCTAGGAATATTATTATAAGAAATTATAAATGTAACCTCAACTGTATGATGAAATGGTGACTGATACAGTGGATCACGCACACGTGACAGTGGCCAACGTCTGCTAGCAAAGTCACATATACGTGACAGCGGCCGTCAAAGTGTTAAACAAATCTTTTGTATCCCAATCTGAATCTAAATTCTACAATGCAGTCCCACAATGCAGTTCCAATTCTCTTGGTCCCATTTTTCTCCCAAACTGATACCAAAGATTCACGAATGCTATCTGCACCGTTTATATGGATGCTCAACAGTGGTTGAGAAAATAGTTCGATCGTCGTACCTCTATCTCGGGCTCACACATGGTACGTTTGCGCGTGGTTCTGGAGCAGAAACCGCAAACAACCTTGTAAACGAGCAATTCCCTGCGATGCATGCGCGACCCAGTGTATCGACAATGAAGGATTGATGGCGCCTGGATGTTAGACGTTAACAATATCCAGAGTCTGCATTAATTTCGAGGCGATCCGGGGCCTGCCACGACTACAATCCCCCCGTATATCGTCGATCTGGGTTAAGAAGCTTGCGTCGCTAATGAGCAGAGACTCGATACTCCGACGGAGGCAAGTAGGTCGTGATTCGATAGACCCCGCCCTGACGCCGACTCACGATAGACAGCGCGAAGATTCTTGCGACTCCATTGAGATTAGCGTGCCTACGCGCCCGCTGGTAACGGGATAAAGTTACCGGCGCGGTAAATTGTCGAAGTTCGAAGGCGAGCGGTAACGAGAACCGAGAAACGACGCTTTATACATATTCGTCGCGGCAAACGAATTACGAAACTAATTAGGAGCACGCGTGCGGAGAGGATCGGGGGACATGCATATTCCTTCGTTGTTTTGCGACCGGCGAATTGGTGGACAGGACAGAGGCAGCTGGCTCTCGAACGGGAACTAAATCGTCGCGCTACGAGAGGATCAAGTTTCGCGGTAAACTTTAATTAATCGACTTGCGTCGGAACTTCGCTTTATTTCTGTTTCGTTGACTCTGTTAAATCGATTCTGTAATATTTGTTTGTTATTAGATGGGTTGTAACTCCTGTTTGACGATATCTTTGGTGTTTGAGTAGCCAGGCTCGCCGCCAGGGGGCTACGCTCGACTTGTGCCTTTCTCACAAGCACTCGAGTAACAGCTATATGGAGACAAATCGTTTTCGGAGTATAATATGCTCAGTTTAGACACGTTTGTGGGATGCTACGAGCTTCCAAAGAAATATTTAAATTGATAATTGGGGATTTATATTAATATTCGATTCAGAATGCAATTCATCTTCGTAGCAAGAAAAGTTTTGTTCAGACGTTTGAAAAATATTTAATAATATTTCAACGCGAGCACGTTTGATGTTCGACGCTAACGAGGGAACAGTGAACAGTGGGAACGAAGGGGGCGGGGTTCCGTAATTTCTGCAGCCCCGAAAACAAACGCGGAAGCGAGAGGAAGAAAGGTAGAAAGGAATAATCAGAGGCACAAGCGCGGGCGTCGTCGGCGGCGGTGGGGGCGACGCACGCTTTTTTTTTTCCACGATCCTCGTCGCTACGACTAGGTTTTTACGACACCGACTGCTCGAAAGCACTTCCATATGAGAAGCAGACGTCAAAAGTACACCGAGCACTTCCACCCCTTTGAAGCGACGAACGAGCGACGGGGGCTCTCGTTCTTTCGTCGTTCCCCGCGCTCGCGCGCGCCCTTACGCTTTCTTCTCGTACGCGTCGCTCCATTCTGCGCCGCGACGGACAAAGGTATTGAAACCGGCGGCTGTAATCTGTCGAAGGCTTCTCCCGGAAAGTTCTGAATCGCGTGAAACGCCACGGTGTTTCGCCTCCAAAGGAATCCCTCTGTCGAACGCAGGCCGCATTGATCCCTTAAGCTCGTTTGCTCCCTTAATTACACGCGGGGGCGTCCGCGGAGAATGCGATCACGGTGAAAAAGTAACCGCGACTCGAGGTTCTTATCGCTGTCTTTTCGCGGTGCTTGGCCATTTAACCGCTTACGCCCTGAATCCCTTTTCCGGTAGAAACGATGTTATTCGACGTTTGATCGATGTAATGGTATTTATGTTACTCGTTTGTGGGGTTGATTTTAGCTGAACGTAATCTTGACGCGATTCTAATTATGTATAAATGGTAGTAGAATTCTAGTGATCGCCAATTTTCTGAATTAAGTAGTACAAATCAATATTCTGTCAGCCATGATGCTTATAGTAGAAAGTAGTGCGTATCAACGACTGACGAGACAGACCCCGAATTTACATGCTAATTTAATAGATAAATAATGTAAATGAACGATTGGAAATATTGTATCGTTAGTAGAAATCCAGTGATCACCAATTTCTTAAATCAAGTAGCACAAATCAATATTCTATCAGCCATGATGCTTATGGTAGAAAGTAGTGTATATCAACGACTGACTAGACAGACTCAGTATTTACATACAAATTTGGTAGATAAATAATGTAAGTTAATGATTGGAAATATTGTACCCTCACTAGAAATCCAGTGATCACCAATTTCTTAAATCAAGTAGTATAGATTAACGACTAACGAGACGGACCAACTATTTACATACAAAGTTAGTAGATAAATAATGTAAATGAACGATTGGAAATATTGTACCCTCACTAGAAATCCAATGATCACCAATTTCCTAATCAAAGTAGTATAGATCAATATTCGATCAGACATGATGCTTACAGTAAAAAGTAGTGTGTGTCAACGACTGACGAGTCGGACCAATATTGGAGAATTTATTAATACAAATAATAAAATTGCAACATTCGTCAGGTTTCCCAGTCAAACAATAAACATTAAAAAGTAGAACATTAAATTTAATTAAGCGTGGATATGAACGTAACAAACGAAATTTCGAAAAGAGAAAAACATCGACGGTGAAGTTCGTACCTTGTATGTGTTTTAGAGATTAAAAAGCTGTAATAGAATTTATATTCCTCGTTTCTGGGATAAATCGTAGTTAAACATAATCCTGACGCGTTTCTGATTACGTATAAATGTTTTCTTGCGCGGGGTAAGTATTATATTTTTCAGAATTAACTGGAAGGTTCTTAACTGCGACTCTCTTTCGTGGATGTTGCATTCGTGCTGAAATATGATGATACTAATTTTCAGAAATAAAACAGAGTCTATATTTTTCGTTTGCAAGGAAGGAAATAAATAGGAAGCTTGTAGATCGTGGAGCTGTCTAAATATGGCTTCACAGATGGACTGGTCATTAATAGCGATCATTTTCGAGCATTTCTACTCGGCAAGGAATTCATACATCCGCAATTTTAGTTTACGTGTCTCGATTCGTAGAACAGTGGACCAACAAAGTAATAATAGCGGTTGAAATGTCAAACTATTTCTACTCCCGCTCCAATTTACAATCTATTAGCTCTACCACCACAGACATCCTCACTATTGGCTGAGGTCAACCGCCCTCGACCAATAGTGCTACAATAGCGGGGGGCAACTATTAGACTGTAACACAGACTGAGAATGTCACTCGTTAGCTTCCTTTCAACAAACAAACAGCACCTTCAGAAGTCGTGTAAGTAATTTAAATTTCTCCTTTCATAGATAACAAAATTTCAACTGTTCATTTCAATAGGCTCATCTTGTGAC